ATCCCAACCATCCGCATCACCACCACCACCTCGTCCCGGTCTCCTTTCGAACCAAACGCTCACCTTCCCTCACAGATCCTTCCTCCATGTCCCATTGAACTCGTCAATCAGCTCGACTCCCATCCGCCGCTCTTCCACGAGCCTCTCACACGGCGGCACCTCGCCCTGCCCACCCGGGCCCATTTTTGTTCAGCCCTCTCTCACGACTCGATCCGCCTGCCAACTCCATCCGTTCCAGCCCTCCCTTTCAAGCGGGCTCCGTGTTCGCCATGGCTTCCACCGAATCGCCTCAGCTCACCCCTTCCAATCGGCCACCTCCCAAGAAGAGGAACAGGCAAGCCCTCTCCTGCACGGCCTGCAGGGAGAGAAAGATCAAGTGTGACAGGGTCGTCCCTTGCGCCCAGTGCGTCAAGAGGGGCGACCAACAGTTCTGCAGGATAGAGACCAAGCCCAAGATCATTCACAGCTCGACAAAGTCAGGCGGTCAGGCCCAGCCCAAACCTCAGCAACAGCAGCCTCACCTCCACGCTCACGTTCACGCTCACAACCACACCCCCATCCTCCAACCCGAGCAGCCAGAGACTGCACACTCGTCGACGACCTCCCTCGGTGCCACCTCACCCCACGAGGTGGAGGCGATCAAGGCCAGGCTTGCCCAGCTCGAAGCCGCCCTCGCCCAGAGGCTTCCGGTCGGCTCCTCCTCCGCCTCCCCTTCCACCACCTCCACCTCGAGCCACAACCTCTTCTCTCCCACCTTCAATCCACGCGCCTCTTCCTCTTCCGCTTCCTCCGGTGTCCCGGACTTCGACCCCTCTCACCGACTCCCTCCTCTGATGAACACGATCCAGAATGGATACGCCTCGTCCCACTACGTGGGTGGCAACGCGCCCGCCACCCAATTCCCCCAGATCAACCCCCGAGCCTCCCTGGGCGGTGGCGGTCACGCCAACTCGCCCACAAGCTACTACAGAGCCACGAGCGGAAGCGTCTCGGGCGACGACGCCGCCTCCTCGAGCCCCCACCTCAGCCGTCTGGGTTCGCCTTCCACGAGCATCTCCACCAGCTCCAACTGGAGGACGGCGTCCGGCATCAAGTCCGAGGTGGACAGCGACACCGAGGATGCCGCGCTGGTCCTCGAGAGGCTCGCGATGGGTGGAGGCGGATTAGGCGGTCGGAGCGTGGCCCACTGCCCGGAGAAGAAGATGAGCGGCGGAGGCGGCGGCGGCGCGGCGGCCAAGCTGGCAAGCGACGCCGAGTGCACCGAGTCCTCCACCGCCGCCACCAGGTGCGACGATCTCACGACCTCTGTCAGGTTCGAAGGTTGCGTCAGAGCCGACAAGGTGAGGAACATCATGCTTCCCTCGGCGGAGGAAGAGGAGAAGAAGGATGCCGTCATGTGCCCGGAGAGCAACGACGAGACCGAGGACGTGGCGATGGGCGAAGAGCCGTCCCACTCCTTGCCTGGAGCCAGCAGCTCGCAGGCACGGAAGCAGCAGCAGCAGCCGGGGGCGGCCTGCTCGGTCGAAGACGAGACGGAGCACGAGGGCAGCCAAGCTGGGGAGGGATCCCGCGCTGGCAGCGATACGGGAAGCGGCGGCGCTTGCAAGAAGGACCCTCTCAACGTCACGCCTATCGCGGTACCGTGCAAACGAGCCTGCAACCACAAGGGCCTCTTCAAACTCAAGTGCGGTCCCGAGACGCTGCTCGGTTGGGGGATGGGGTGGGCTTGGGCCACCGGGTCCGAGCTGCTGGACCAGCAACGGCAGGAGGCGATCAAGGAAGGACGAAAGTGGAGACCGACCGAAAAGACGGAGAGGGAGGCCGTCCTGACCGCCGTCTGCGCCAGCCTTCCTAGCAAGGAGCTGGCCGCTCAGCTCATCACGGTCTACGAGACGAGGGTCAGGAACCTGGCCGGTCACGTCGTCCACGTCCCCTGCCTGAGGAGGGAGATGGAGGCCTTCTACGCGCTGGACAGCTACGAGAAGAGAGCGAGGGTGGTCAACCACGTCGACGCGAGCTGGCTCAGCCTCTTCCTCTCCATCCTCATCCTCGGCCTCAGGTTCTACCCTTGCTACCCCGAGCAAGGGTGGGTCTCGGCCGACGCGCTCTTCGACGGCAAGACGATCCACGCCTGGTACTCTGCCGCCAAGACGTGCCTCGTGCTCGCGGGTTACCTCAACTCGACCAGCATGAGCGTCCTGCAGTCCATCCTCCTGCTCAACCTCTACTCGTGCAGCGCCAACCACGGGCCCGGCGCGGATCTGGACCAGGGGACGACCAGCACGGCGCTCATCAGGGTCGCCATCGCCAACGCGCAGGAGATGGGCCTGCACAGGCTGGGGGACAAGGACGCGCAGCCGAACGGCAACGAGTCCACGTCCAAGGTGGTCAGGATGGAGATCGCCAAGAGGGTCTGGTGGGCGCTGGTGTTCAAGGACTGGTGCTCGGCGGGCTCGGGCTGCACGAGGAACTACATCGTCCACCCGGACCAGTTCAACACGCCCTTCCCGGGCAACTACAACGACTCGGACCTGCTCCAGAACCCGCTGCCGCCGCAGAGGCCGAGGACCGAGTACACCGAGATGTCCTTCGTCCTGGCCAACCTCGAGATGGGCATGGTGATCCGGGAGGACGTCGACCTTCGGCTCAAGAGGGAGCTGGCCGGCGCCACGCACGGCGGCGACAGGAGGCTGACGTGCCAGGACGTCAAGCTGCTCGACCAAAAGTACCGGAGGATCCTCGAGGAGGCGCCCGACTTCTTCCAGGTCGGTTCCGAGATCGGCGAAGGGAGCTGCATGGAGATCTCCAGGTGGCTCCTCCAGCAGGGAGTGTTCAGCAAGTGAGTCCTTCCTTTCCGCTCGCAACGGCCTGCCTGACCCTGCTCCCCTTTCCGTCATCTCGGGCGTGCTGACCTCGCTTTGATTCGATCACCTTGCTCCCACGAAACAGGTTGCTGAGGCTGCATCGACCAAACCTCTCCAGCCGAGCCGAATCGAGGACCAACTGCGTCTTGCTCGCGCGATCCATCCGTGAGTTGCGATGAAAGGACGGTGAAAATGATACAAAATAACAAGAACGATTTGCTCTTTTCGGTAGAGGACGGGAGGCGTCACCGTGGACCTGACTTGTGAACCCTTGCGTTCTCCTGCCCTCCCCTCGCCCGTCCCTCATCAGTCGACATGCAGAAGAAGATCAGAGCGCGTTGCACCGTACTTGACCGACTCTGGGTCAACTTGATGCAGAGCTTTTCGGCGGCCATCGTCCTCTCGCTTCACCTCCTCCACACTCGTCCGGAGCCGGACCACCGACTCTCGGTGAGGTCCGAGATCGCCGAGGCGATCAACGCTCTCAAGCACATCGAGTGCTCCAACTACACGGCCCAGAAGTGCATCCGCGTGATCGAGGCGCTGATGGCGGAGGAGGAAGAGAGGTGGGTCAACGGCTTCGACCAAGCTCGTGAGAGGATCCAGGAGAACGGCGCTGCGGGGCACAAGAGGAAGAGGGACGGCGACGGCTCCGAGAGCGGCGTCGGTAAGAGGAAGAACCTGTTGAGCCTGGCTCAGAGGGTGGCGCTGGCCACCAAGTGCCCTCAAGCCGCCAAGGCGGTCGGCTCGGCCAAGGCTGCCGCCGCTGCCGCCGCCGGCGTCAAGGTCGAGCGCGAAAGGTTGGAGGGCGCCAGCTCCGTCCTCGAGCGACTCCAGAGGCAGCATTCGAGCGAGACCGGGGGAGGAGGAGGAGGAGGCTTGGCCGTCGGTAATCAGAGTCAGACCCAACAGCCGATCGAGCCTGCCAAGGATGACGTCTCGAAAGCTCTCATGGGCCAACTGATGTTGCCGAACGCGGCTCCTAGCCCTTGGATTCTGAACGGTGCGACAACGGAGGGTGGAAACGAGGAGGACGGTTCGTCCGGCGTCAACTTCCCACACCTCTCGTCATCGTCGTCGTCGTCGATGCCTCAAGCCTTCCTCCACCAGGGTCAACTGCTGGACGCCAACCACGCCTACCCGATCAACGTCGACGTGGCCAGGAGGAGCGTGGCACCGAACGGACTCGACCTCTCGTTCAACAACCCTCTGACGCCACCGGACGGGCAGCCGTTCGACCTGGCCGCGTTCCTGGACCAGTGCGAGGACTCTCCGGGTTCCTCGAGCGGCCAGAGCGCGAGCGGAGGAGAGGAGAGCTCGAGCGGATTCTTCGGCGGCAGTGGTGGTGACGGCGGTCGAGCCAACTCGACCTCCTCCTCCTCCTCCCCCCTGATGCAGGTGGAAGCGGGGGGGGAGAAGGATGGCGAGTCGAACCCAAGAGGAGGCCTCACGGTCTCCGACCCCGCCTCGAACCAACACCAAGTGCAGACGGCCCCTCGAGACCAGACGGGAATGGACGGCTTCTGGAACTGGATCCTGAGTCAGGGAGCCGCCGGCCTCCCACCCTTGGGAACCTCGAACGGCGCAACCCCTTCGCCAGGAACGCAAGCGAACGTCTCACAAGTCTGGAACGGAGGCTCGGTCGTCTTCTCGGACGGTCCTTCCTCGACGACGACGATGCCAGCCCCTTTCAGGGTAGGCGGTGGTGGATCTTCTAGCCTTCCCGACGAAAAACCCATCAACCCCTCGGCGGCCCCACCCTTCCTCGCCACCCACCTCGTAGGATCTCAGAACGTCAACGTCCAAGCCCCCCTCCCACCCCCTCCGATCACGCTAGGAACCCCCAGCGCAGGGTTCGGACTGGAGAGCTGGTTGGCCATGCCCACGCTCTACGAGTTCACCGACTTGGCTCCCTCCTCCTCCTCCTCCTCCTCCTCCTCCAACCCTCTGGGTCAGAACGGGTACATCCTGAGGGGTTGAGGCGTTTCCCCCATCGTGATCTGTTACGTTTCGTCGTGTGTTTTTTTTTTTTCTTCAACCCCACCCCCCCCTTTTGCTCGAATGTAATTGTGCCCGAATGCAGTAGAGAGGGAGCATCATAAGGTCGGTGTGGAGTTTGGGAGCACGTGATCCAAAGCACTGATAGTTCAGTGGTAGAATACCTGCCTTCCACCTAGCGTGTTGAGCATGTGGCACGGGTTCGATTCCCGTTCAGTGCAAGGAATCATTTTCTTTTTCCCCCATCACTGTTCTCGAACACTCTCATTCCCCACCGGACCTTTCGTGGTCTACTGTTTTGCAAAGGGGCATCCATCGTATGTACAGTGAGGAGAACGTCCCTGTTCCGTCCGATCGGATCTTGGATTTTTTTTTTCTTCCAACATCCACGTTTGCAACGCTACAAATACATGAGAGAGAGATGGGGGGGGGGGGATTCCGCTTCACTCTTCCTTCTGCAACTCCTGCATGGCGACCAGGTCGGCGTAGATTCCACCCAGAGCCATGAGGGACTTGTGATCTCCCGCTTCGGCCACCACTCCGTCCTTGAGGCAGAAGATCCTGTCGGCTCTCGAGATGGTGGATAGCCTGTGAGCGATGGCGATGGTGGTCCTACCTTTGGAGGCCTTGTCCAGAGCGGCTTGGACGACGGATTCGGAATCCGAGTCCAGGGCCGAAGTGGCTTCGTCCAGCAGGAGGATCTTTGGGTTTCGGATCAGGGCCCTGGCGATGGCGATCCTCTGCTTCTGTCCTCCCGAGAGTTGGGTTCCTTTGCCACCCACCTGGGTGTCGAACTTGTCGGGTAGGGATTCGATAAAGTCGAGGATGTTGGCTTGCGAAGCCGCCTCCCTCATCTGTTCCAGCGTCACCTTGTCCGAATCCTCGAAGGCTCCTAGCGCTAGGTTGAAACCGATGGTCCCGTCGTACAGCGTCGGTTCCTGGGAGACGAGAGCGATGTGCCTCCTCATCGAGGAGAGGTTGAGTTGCGAGATGTCCTGACCGTCGATCGTCACCTTTCCGGCCACGGGGTCGTAGAACCTTTCGATGAGTTGGATCGTGGTCGACTTGCCGCAACCGCTGCCTCCCACCAGGGCGCAGTAGGTGCCGGGTCGGATGTCGATGTCGAGTCCCCTCAGAACCCTGACCGAAGGTCGGGTGGGGTAACGGAAGTGGACGGATTCCAGTTTGACGTGACCTTGGCACGTCTCCATCGGTTTCCCCTCGTCGCTCTCCGAATCGATCTCGGGTCTCATGTCGAGCAGTCGGACGATGTCGCTGGCCGCCGTCTTGGCGTTCGAGATGTCGGGGACAAAGTTGAAGACGTTGCCAGCCTGGAGCGATCCGAAGACGACGGCGGTGAAGATGGTGAAGAACTGTCCCGAGCTGTACGTTCCGTCCGCCAGCAGGCCGGATCCGTACCAGAATCCGAGCGCGATCACCCAGAACGAGAGCGCCTGCGAGAGGGCGTAGAGGAAGTTTCCGTAGAAGGCCGTGTTCCTCGTGATCTTGCCGGGTCCCTTGAGCTCCTCCTTGTAGATGGCCAGGCAGTTCTCCTCTCGCGTCAGGGAGGCCACGGTTCGGATGGCCGAGGCGGCCTCGCAAGCCCTCTGGGCCGAACCCTCGTGCGCCTTCTTGATCTTGGCGTCCTTGAGCACGACGAGCTTGAGCCTCACGAACCCTGCCGAGAGCGTCAGAGGCATGCAGGCGATCACCACCAGCGCCAACTTCCAACCGTAGGCCAGAGCGATGATGGCTCCCACGACGAGCGTCGAGATGGACTGGATGATGGTCCCCAACGTGACCCCGACCAGTCCGTTGATCTTCTGCGCGTTGTCCGCCAGCGAGTTGGTCAGCGAGCCGGACGAGTGACCGTCCTCGTCAAAGTAGGCGACGTCGGCCCGGAAGTAGGCTGCCAGGCTCAACCTCCTCAACCTCTCCATCAGGATGGTCGAGGCCAGCATGAGCGTGTGCGTCTGGATCCCGACGCACGCCGTGGCGAGGATGGCGATGATGAAAAAGTAGAGCGCGTTCAGGTTGGCCTCGTGCTTCATGATGCTGTTCAGAGGCTCCGGGCAGGTCTCGCCGAGAGGCTGCGAGCAGCGAGAAAAGTTCTGAAGCGCTCGGCCGAAGAGGATCGAGAAGGCAGGGTAGACCGCTCCCGAACAGGCCGCCGCGATGAAGCCGGGGAGGTAGAGCGAGACGATGTATTCGCGGTTGACCATGGCGAGGCGGTAGAGGAGGTAGAAGATGTTGTAGACCTTTTCGTCTTCCTCACCGCCCCCTTGAGCCTCCTTGTCCTCCTGCTTGCGTCGCAGGATGGCGCTGGCCAAGCTGAGCCTCGAGCCGGCCCTCTCCAAGCCCGCGGGCATCTCGGCCTTGGCCTCGGCCCTGATCTGCTTCTTCCTGTCTTCGCCGTCGGTCGCCTTGCCCTCTTGCTGCTGCTGCTGCTGCTGCTGCAGCTGTTCATCGAGGTCGTCGTAGATGTTGGTGGAAGCCGTGTTGGCACGGATCTTTTGAGAGTTGACCAGGGAGGCGTAGGCGCCTCCACGCTCCAGCAGCTCGTCGTGCTTTCCCTGCTCGATGATGATGCCCTTGCCCATCACCACAATGTTGTCGGCCGACTTGATCGTCGAGAGCCTGTGGGCGATCGTGATGGTCGTCCTCCCTTGACTGGCCCTCTCGAGAGCGTCCTGAACGACCGCCTCGCTCTGGGTGTCCAGCGCCGAGGTGGCCTCGTCGAGCAGGAGGATCTTGGGGTTCTTGATGATGGCTCGCGCGATGGCGAGGCGCTGCTTCTGACCTCCGGAGAGCAGGAAGCCTCTCTCTCCCACCAGCGTGTCGTAGCCTTCGGGCAGCAGGCTGATGAAGCCGTGAGCGTTGGCCTTCTCGGCGGCGTCGATGACCAGCTTGAGCTTCTCGTCGTCCGAGGCATGCTCGAACTCGGTGTTGATCAGTCCGTACTCGATGTTCTTTCGGATCGAGGTCGCGAACAGGGTCGGCTCCTGGGACACGAGGCCGATCTTGGTCCGGAGCCACTTTAGGTTGAGATCCTTGATGTTGTTGCCGTCGATGCCGATGGAGCCCGCGTCCGGGTCGTAGAATCGCTCGACCAGGGAGACGATCGTGGACTTGCCCGAGCCCGAGGCTCCCACCAGCGCCGTGACCTTGCCGGCGGGGATGTCGAGCGAGTAGTCCTTGAGGATCTGCACCTCGGGCCTGGCAGGGTAGGTGAAGTCGACGTTGCGGACCGTGATCTCGCCGATGCACGTCTCGGGCTTGAGGCCGCTCGGGTCGGACGAGTCGATCGGTGGGACGCGGTCGATGGTCTCGAAGATCTTGCCCCCGGCGCCCAGAGCGTAGCTGAGCGCCTGCATGTTGGGCGCCATCATGGCCATGGAGAAGGCACCGATCAGGATGGAGAAGATGACGTTCATCACGACACCGCTCGGGATCTCTCCGGAGGCGATCAGCTTGGAGCCGAAGTAGAAGGCGAGGGCGTAGCCGGAGTAGATGACGAAGAAGAAGACCCCCAGCCCGGCTCCGGAGACGATGGCCTTGGAGACACCCTTGGTGGTGGCCTCCTTGTTGGGCTCGTTGTAGAGCTCGACGAGCTTGTGCTCGATGCCGAACGCCTTGGCGGTCCTGACGGTGGCGAGGCCCTCCTCGGCGATGGTGGCGGCCTTGGAGATGTGGTTGAGCTCGGCCTGCTGGAGCCTGGCGACGAACATGTTCATGACGATGCCGGCGATGATGATGCACGGGATGATGGAGGTCATGGCGAGCGCGAGCTTCCAGCTCCTGACGTAGGCGACGATGAAGCCGGTGACAAACGTGGCGATGAACATGACGCTCATCGGGATCTTGTCGCTGATGCCCTCCTGGATCAGCTGGATGTCGGTCTGGATGCGGGTCGTGACCTCACCCGCGCCAAGAATGTCAAAGTAGGCGATGTCTTGCCTCAGGATGGCCTGCAGGTAAGCCTCGCGGATCCTTCGGGTGATCTCCTCACCGGTGTAGACCCAAGCGGCCATGTAGATGTAGGTGGCGGCGAGCATGGCGATGCCGATGTAGACCAGGAGGAGCGCATCCTTGTTGACCGTCGACCTCAACGTGCTCCTCGCGTCGGCGACCACGTCCGGCGCCTCACCCACAGCAGAGCTGAATTTCAGGAAGGCGGTTGTGAGGTTACCGAAGACCTGCGGATCGGAACCGAGCGGTTCGAAAGGAAGACGAAACGAGGGGAAGGGTGAGGAACGCAACGGGAAACGCAAGGGAAGCGAGCGGGTTCAGTAAGGTTCAGGATGGCAGGGGGAAGGGTGGAGTCTCCTCTTTCCACCTTCCCTCTTGCTTCAATTTCCTTTCCTACAGAAAACACCCCCCAAAACTCACGATCGTCATCAAAGGTTGAGCAGCACCGGCTGCCGAAGCGGCGATGATGCCGCAAAAGTTGAAAAAGTGGTCCCACTTGGTGGCGAACCTGAAGAGCTCCTTGAGGCCTACCTTGTTGACCGGAGCCGACTCGCCGTCCTTGTTCGCGCCTCGCCGCTTGCGTGGTTTGGAGCTGGTCGAGGACGAGCTTCGGCCGGAGTCGGAGGAGAAGGATTCGGCATCCTTCTCCATCTTGATGGCGACTTGGGAAGAGGGATTCGGCGCTGCGGCTGTCGAGGCTTGTGTGGGGTGGAGCGAGGAGGAGGAGGAGGAGGAGGAGGATTTCTCGTCGACTTTGGGTAGTTGGTCGGCAGTGGCGGCCGAGGTGGATCGAGGGTGGTCGGTCTCCCTCTCGGCTTCGTCCACGCTACTCCTCGAAGCGCTCGACTCCGACTTGCTCTCCATCACTCCCGGGTTGGTAGCGGTGAGGGCATCGGGTGTTGCGGGTGACGAGGACGACGACGATGATGTTGTCGTCGTCGTCGTCGTCGAGTCCGTCGGTTGGGCAGCAGCAGCGGGTTGAGATGAGCGATCCTCGCTGGTTGGTTGCAAGGGTTGGGTGACGTTGGAGGTGGCGGCCAAAGCGGGCACCACTGTAGGGTTTGCCTCCGTCATGGTGGTGGCGGACCCTAAAGGGGTGGGAGTATCGATGCCGAAGGTAGAATGGATGGTAGAGGGCTGGTTGGAAACAAACGTACTAGAAGCGATAGGGCGGCCGGGGGAGGGGGGGGGGGTTGGTGAGGGGGGGTTGGAGGGGAGGGAGGGTAATTAAGGAACGGGCGAGAGAGGGAGG